CTTCGTGAAGGAAATATAGTGGCCTGGAGTGATGAAGACATGGCTACGCTTTTCGTTGAACTCCTTCCTACCCCAAATGTGCCAGCTGCTCACTTACTGCCAACGATGAGTTTCAGTTAATGAGCTTGCTTCTTCCCGATGCCCAAGAACCAATTGAGCTGGTGAATGTTGGCAAGTTTCAACCGATTGTCGAAGCCCTACCCAAACGAAAATCGGTTGGCCCCAATGGCATCATTAATGAGATGTTGAAGAAATTGCCATTGTTAGGAATTAATCATCTGTACCTCCTACTATAATTTGCGATGGTTTTTGGCGCCTTTCTGATCAGTTGGACGACAATGACCGTTGTGATGCTGCCAAAGACACTTAAACCAGAATAAGCAACTAGCAATTACCCACTCATTAGTCCCCTGACAGCGGTCGGCAAAGCGGAGGAGACCGTTTTACTGAGCCGTCCAAAAGAGCTTGTAGACGCTAGGGGCGCCTTGCCGGAATTTCAGTTTGGATTTCGGCAAGGGCACTCAACGATCCAGCAGCTCCACCGCTTGACCGGATGGACCACTCGCGCTTTTTAACGTTAAGGCAACAGAAGCTGTCTTCCTGAAAAAGCATTTGATCGAGTTTGGCATTGAAAGTCTGCTGCACAAGCTGCGCTCGTTATCCGTTCCTCATGGACTTTACGATATACTGAAGTCATTTATCTAAATGGCTGGGTCTTCAGCGTGGGCTTGGGAGATACACAGTCTCCGCTGCGATCTCTGACAGCAGGGGCCTTCCAGAGGTACCTTCTTTCGCCCCTTTTATTTGCAATTTATATGAGCGACTTGCCCTTACCATCAAATCCACACACACGAATCGCCGGGTTCGCCAATGAACGGCCATTACTCATTGTCGAAGTCTCCCGCCTTGCTATACAATCATCTACAGCGCTATCTTAACGCCCCTGCTGACTGGTGCCGTTATCAGAAAGTTTCTATAAATGCCATGAAGATCAAAGCGCTATTAGTTAATAAGAAATGCGTCCCCTTGTTGGCGCCCTTAACCTTTGATAGTGTGAAGATTCCGTGCTGTTCTCAAGCGAAATACCTGGGAGTCATCATTGACAACAAACTTTCTCCGCACGTAGACTATCTGGTGGCGAAGGTCAAGGCAGCAACTAAGGCGCTTTATCCTTTACTATGCGACAAGGGCAAGATTTTTCTGCGAAACAAACGGTAATTGTATGCTTTACATCCAGCCAATAATGAAATACGCGTCTAGTGCTTGGATCTACGGGTCCACTGTAATAGCGTCGGCACTTCAAGTGCGACAGAACAAATTACGGCGCGTGATGACAAACGTGCCGTGGATCGTGCGAAATGAAACTCTTCACCGGGATCTTCAGCTGGACGACAGGCTAGCTAGACACACTAATCGTCTGCTGATGAGTGAACTTATTTCCGAGCCTTGGGACGGGGCACGTTATCGCCGCCTAAGTGATGCGCGTAATCCCTAGTTTTGGTTTGTTATGCCAAGAAAATAATGACACCTTTTCGACTGAAGATATTATGTAACAAGACAGGATCACTTCTGTTTGATAGCTCGAATATACCAAGTTTTTTGATTATATTGAGCACTAGAAATTGTCATTTATAAATAAATAAAATAAAGAGGTTGCAGAATAGTACTCTGTTGCTTGATAGCTTATTTCGACTGTTTTAATTTATCTTAAACTGTAATTAGTGTATAACGGTTTGAACAGATAAGCTGTTAAACTGTTTTTTTATAAGCATTAATAGCTCAGTCTTAATATTTTAACAGTTTTTATCGAGATATTTGACCTTTCAAAGCTGTTTGATAGTTAATAACAAAATCATAGCCTTATCTCTTAGATTATAAAAATAATAGTGCCCTATACTTATTTAATAGATTTTAATCAACTTATTAGGCCCAAAAACTTTTCTGTAATTGTAATCACTTGCGTTAAATGTAAGGATAACTTTTATAATCAGCAGTATAATGTAAAATAGTACTCTGACTTATAAAATAAATGAAAATACAGTGATTTTAATTCCTAAGGGTTATATCAAAAAATTACTCATCATGGGTAATTAATGGACATGATAACTTCAATCCTCTTATAATAGCCTATTAAAAAACTAATTTAGGTAGGAATCCAAAAACTATATTTCTAATGAGATATTCCATAAGAAGAAAGCAATGTAAATTTTTAACTAAGCTTATTTGTTTTTTTAACTGAAAAATTGTGTTAACAGAGTCTAATGTTACGCATAGTCCCTTTCTACATATTGATTGGGGCCTATGCTTGTTTTTATCTTTTTTCTACTATATTTGTTACTAGTTCTTAGCTTGTTCACTTAAGTTATAATAATATTCAGAAGAAATTTTTATTATATCTCCAATAATCCTCATTTCTTATAGATATTTATTTATTTATTATCTTTTAGGTAGAGATACTGGTTAAGAATCAGCAACTACATTAAAACACAAGGGCTTAAAAAAATTTCATAAAGATGCTTTTACAAGCACACCAACTGAAGGTTGTATAGAATGGCATATTTGGAATTAATAATACTTATCTTGTACAGATTAATTGCAGCTATACTTATTTTTGAAACTTAATTTGTGCTGGCAAAATCTCGTTTTTACGTTTCTATTTTTTTTACACTACGAACTTATGATAAGATGAGGTATTATTTTTAAAAAAGAAATACAGCTTTTTAAGCTATAATACTGCATTTAAAAATTTTATATAATAATATATTTTTATATTGGCCGATTATTTAGTATATAAGTTTTTTTTATTTCTCATTTAACTATGTGCTTTGTTTTAGGGATTTTACCTAGATTGTTTTTGTAGTTATTAAACTAAGAGTTTTCCTTTTAGGTGGCATTCACTATTTATAGTAAAGTAAACAGTGCTCTATATATTATTTAATAAAAACCAAAGAGGATGAAAAAGTATGCTGTAGGCAAAAAACCCGGAACTTGCATGTTTAGGGTACGTAACTTTTAGGTATTAAGTCCATAAGCACGTTACTAATATATATTTTTAAGAAAAATAATAAAATAATGAATATCTGATTGTCTTTAAGATTTTGTTTTTGGTACCACGTCTTCAGCAGGCTAAGGGCCAGGAACAGGAGATAAAATTAGATCAGCGTACAAAAGCAAAGAAAATTGAAAAATAATTAGCTGGTTTACTAATACTAATAAAGTTATTTATATCTCTTAAAACTAAAATAACACTCACTTTAATGTTCATAATTATTATGAATAGTTTACTACAAAAGCAATTTTTAAGTAATTTTGAAAATTTTTTTTAAGTCTTGCTTAAGTGCGGTCGACTTTAAAAACTACTAATGAAAAGACATAAATAAACTTTGTCACGGGTTTTTTTTAGGAAGCGTTTAGAAATAAGTTTCGTTTGGCGCGGTTAACGAATATGAAAATGTTTATAACAATGCACACCCGACAGCCCTTTTTTTTGAAAGTAGTGCAACAGCCTCTAATGTTATACAGTTTGTATGTCCATTTAAAATGGGCTTTCCAGCTTAGCTTAGGCAACTACAGTGGGATCACTAATAACAAAATGGGGATCTAAATACGGCTTAATAGTTACTCCATTCCATTTTTCTCTACGTAACCAGTTTTATATCAGTTTTGTTATAACTTGAGAAATGTAGCTGCTAAAGATGCGCAGGAACCTCTACGCACTTTTTTTGCGACGTTCCTTTGCCATCTGACCCCTTGTGGCAGTATCGCCTATAGGCAGATGTTACTGTAAAAAGAATTTGGCCACTAAAGTCTTTTGGTTAACTATACCATTGTCTACAGGGCACTCGTCGCTAAACTACAATTAACGTTGAGAAGAGCAAGGCTCTCCGTATTAATAAAAAATAATTTGATACTTGAAGGTCATTACGGATTATATAAGATCAAGGCGGTGACGAAAGCTCTATCTCCACCTACTGCCTTTGATAAGGTCGCCCCCGTCGCGCCTCGTGCGAACTTTTACGTATTCTGCGGAGCCAAAAGTTTAAAGTTAAATTTTTATAGCAACGAAAGCGAATGAACCTTTGCCAAATAGTTGAGATTTTAAAATTGCTAAGTTCACAATACTCGTAAAGTAAAATTGCGAAGTACTCTCATCCAACTCCACCGTAAAAATTAATATATAATGCAAACTACATAGGTATGCTTTTTATGACCTTTATTGCAATAAAATGTTTTCAAATTTAACTATAAAGGGCGTTGTATTGTTTCTCTTTCTTTAATTAGTAAAAACGGAAACTATTACTAGTGCACTCCTACTATTATGAACCAATTTTTTTCTTCCATACAAATTCTATAAACAAATATCAGCGCTCTCGCAGTATTATGTGACTCAAAAACTTGGTTTCTATAAAAAATTTATTTTTAACCTAAAGTTTCTAGAAAAAATAAAACTCTTGAAACACCAGTTCTTGCTTCGTCTTTATTTTTTGTTACTATTTAGTAGTTTCGTTCTAAACTTGATGTGTAATAAGGTTTATAAAAAGGTTCCATAATAAAAATATACAGTTATACTTCTAAGTAAAGTAAAATAGTATAAATATAACAAATAATAACAAAAAAAGACGATAACAAGGAAACCCCTCACAAAGAAAAGTTTACTTAAGAAAAAGTGGACTACTCCGAGCAAATCCTTTGGGTTTCTTTTAAGTTTTTCTTGAACACGTGGCTATGGGCGGATTTTTTTTAGTTTTTATTTTGTTGTTGGGTCCCTTAAAAAAACCCACGAGGTCTATTAAAATTATTCGCTTGTCCCTTTCTGCCTCACTTTTGCAAAAAAAAAGTACTTTGGGAACTTTTTATTCCACCATTTTGTTTTTGCTAGCTACCCTAAAACTTAACTTTTCTTTTCGGGTTATATTCAAGCTTACTTTTTTTTATTTTTTAATTCTGATTCTTACTATAATTTTTATAAGGGTTTTAGTTATAACCTAAGGTGTTGCAATATGTCGCGTTCTAGAGTTTTTAGTAATGTAAATTTGAACAAAAGTCAAGATTATTATGATTATGAAAATTTTACTATTACCTGGAAGTAATATGTTCTATACTATTTTTTTTTCATTTTTATTTTTTTTATTACAATATTTTTATTAAGCTCACCAGAAAAGTATGAAGTGATACGCCATTTGGGTAGAGGAAAATACAGCGAAGTTTTTCATGGTATTGACGTTACTCAGGGTGTTGATAGAGTAATAAAGGTTTAAAATAAAAGCCTTTATAATTTTTTTTAAAAAAATTATTAAAGTTATTATATGTTCAGTGATTTTCATGTATTTTTTAAAATTTATCTTAAACTTATTATTTAAAATTTTCAGTAACTTTTCATGTTTTTTTCTATTGGATCGCTTTATTATTTTTTTTAGTCAACTATATTCTTTTTTATTTTTTAAAAAAATTTATTATAATCTCTTTTATTTGGATCTCTTTATTACTAATTTAATTTATAATTAAGACTTTAATGATTTTTTATTATTCTTCTTTTGGTCAATTGTAACTCTTATAATTTGCTTTTAAATAAATTTAGGAATTTTTTCTTATTGGATCTCTTTCTAACTAATTTTCAAGTTGTAGTTTAGTCCTTAATAATCCTTTTTATAAACAAATTTTTAAAACTTTATTATAATTAAGTTATAATTAAGTCAATTATTTTTATAATAAAAACTTTTTCTATATAAATTTTCAAAAATTATTATAATTTTTTCTTTTTTTTTTGGATCTTTTATTACTAGCTTTTAGTTCATAATGAAGTCAATTTTGGTTTTTTTTAATAAAGAAAACTTATTTTTTATATAAACTTAAAAAAAATTATTATAATTTATTCCTTTTAGGATCTTTTATTACTAATTTTTAAGTCGAATTATTATTCAAAATTTTTCTAGAAAATTTTTAGTTTTTTTCTGATTTCTTATTATTTATTTTACAAATCTTGTTTATTATTATTATTCTATAGGTACTATTAAAAGTTATTACTATATAAATTTTATATTGATAACAATTTTTTCCTTTTAGGTTAGTTCAACACTCATTTTATGTCGTATTTATAATTTTATATAATTAATTACCTAACGTTATTAATTATATTTTATAAATCTAATTTTTTTAAATTTCTTATTATATTATTACTTTATAGAAATATATTTTATAAGTTATAGTTATAAATTTCCTTATTTTTTATACAATTTACCAATTTTGTAGTGTTTATTGGTTAAAAAAGTTTTTATTCTATTTAGACTTATTTAAATTCATTATGAAAAGGTATTGAAGCCCGTTAAAAAAAGGAAAGTAAACCGCGAAGTTAAAATTCTACAGAATTTGCGTGGAGGCATTAATATTATACAATTAGTGGACTGTGTGTATGAAATGGAGGTTGTCCTTTTTTGTTAATTATAATTTAATTAATTTATTTTTCATATTAGTTTTGTATTTATTTATTAAAATTTATTTTTATAATTTTAATTATTTTACAGCTTTTGAATTAAATGATATATTTTAATTATTTGTTTAGTTGTTTTTATATATAAAGTGGAGTATTTTTTTTATTTAGGAATACCATAATTTTTTTTTGATTTTTATTTTAATACATTAAATTTGTATTTTATATTTTTTAATAGTTTCTGATTCATAAATTATTTTTTTGTTTGTTTACCTGATTTTGTATGTATAGTGGAGTTTCTTCTAACTTTATTATTAATAATTTTTAGTATTTATTTGAACACATTACATTTGTAATTTAAATTTTTAAATTTAAAAGATTTATTATTTTTATTTGTTTAGTTGTTTCCGTTTATTTGGAGTCTTTTTTATTTAAAAAATTTTTAAATTAATTTTTTTTTTAAGTTTTATATTGATATATATAAGTTTACAGTATTTTTATATATATAGTTAAAATTATCGATTTTTATTTAAGTTTTGTTTACATTTTTCAAGTTATTGCTCTAATATATTTTTGTGTATTTTTTGAATTTTTTTAAGAATTTAAAAGTTTAAGATTCTTCAATTTATTTTTTTAATGTTTTTTTTCTTGTTAATTATAATTTTTTATTCTTAGAAATTTTTATAATACCTAATTTTTTAATTTTTTTGCTATTTAGTTTTTTTAATTTAATTTATAATTTGATTTTATAATAAAATATAATTTTTTACAATTTTAATTAATATATTTAATTATTTTTACTCTTTTATAGTTTTATTAACTTATTTTATAAAATGACTGTTCTAATAAAATATTAATTTTTTTTAAAATTGATATTTTTTATATAATTATTTTGTTATTATATTTAATTTACTTTGATAAATATAATTTTTTTTATATATTTCAACTAATTTTTTTTGCATTTACTTTTTATTTATTTTTAATTTGTAAATTTATTTTTTTTAATTAATTTTAATTTTTCTTTTATTTTTTGCTTGTATTTTATATTTTTAGTTTTTTAACTCAATTATTATTAAATTTCACTTTTTTATACTAAAATTCTATTGTTTAATTGGTAATAATATATTTTTTGTAATTGATTATTTAATATACTTCCCAGCAAATTTATAAATTTTGATATTTTTTTATCTTTTAATTTATAATTATATTTTTTAAGTTTTTGCTTTTTTTACTATTTTCAGATTTTATTTTGTTTTATTACACAAATTTACTTGATATAAAATTGTATAAATTTTGTTAACTATTGTTTTTATTATTTTTTTTAGAAATTTCATATTTAAATAACAATTTTATATTTAAATTTTAAATTATATACCTTTTTTTATTTACCCATAATTTTTTTCTATATTTAATATTTAAATTTACTTTTATATTTTTATTTTTATTTTTCATTATTAAATGTAATATAATTTTTTTTGATTAATTTTTTTTTGTAATACTTTTTATTTTTTGGTAGACATACATTTTTTATAAGAAAAATATTATAATTTAGTTCTTTTATATAAATATTTATTAATTTATTAATTTTTATTTTTTTAAATATAAATTATTATTTTATTTATTTATTTTTATAGACCAAAACTCAAGCGCTTATATTTGAATATGTGGATAATGCGAAATTTGCTCTTCACTTTTCTCTTTTTGAAGATCGGGATATTCGCTATTACATTTTCCAGTTGCTTAAAGTTTATTATTATTATTATTTACTCATGTTTTAAAAAATTTATTTTTATAATTCCTTATTTAATTTTTTTTTGGTAGAAAAATTAAACGTAAAAATAATTATTTGATTTTGAAATTTTTTTAAAAATTTAGGAAAAAAATTATTATCTTTAAAAGAATAAAACTCGAAAATAATTACTAAATATTTCTTTTAACAAAAAATAAATTAATATTCTTTCTGAATTAATTTTTATTTTTTTTTTTAGAAATTTATCTTAGCCTTATAAATTTGATTATTTCAAGAGTTTTCACTGATTAATAATATAGAATTATATACGAGAGTTTTTTTTATTAAAAGAATAAAACCTGAAAATAATTAATAATTTCTTTTTATTAACTTAAAAATTTATGATGTTAAATTTTTTAATTTAATAATGTAAAATTATATTTTAGTATGCTTTCGATTTAAAAATTAAAGTATTATTTTGTTTAAAACTTATTTTTGTAAATTTTAATTTTTCTTTAATTAATATCGTAGTTATCTACAAGAACTTTTTTTATAGAAATTTAATTATGATTTTTCTTAATTAAAGAAAATATAGTTTTGTTTTTGAATTATTATTTTAAAAAAAAATTGTTTAGTTTTAAAATTTTTTAATAAATTTGATTTTCTAAGTTTCCATTAATTAATAATATGAAATAGTATACAAGAAATTTAAACTTTTAATAATTTATTTTTAGAAACTTTAAAAAATTTAAATTAGTTCCATTTTTTTTTTACTAATTTGATTATATTTCTATTAAATTATAAAATGAAATTTCTTTTAAAACTTCTTAATAATTTACTTTTTTTTAACTTACAAAAATTTTGAATTAAATACTCTAATTTTAATAAAATATATTAAAATATATTTAGTTAAAAGTATTTTATAAATTTAATTGTGCTTATTTAAAAATAATTAGTATCAATTTTCATTATGTTTTTTTCTGTATTAATTTCTTTTTATAATTTTTCATAAAAATTTAATTATTAATTATAATATTTATATAAATTTGGTTATACTAAGTTTTTAATATTTAAGATATAGAAATATGTATAAGAATTTTTATTAATAGAAAAAAAACTTTAAAATTATTATAATTAAAATTTTATACACGATTTCTTACAACTTAAAAATTATTAAATTTCTTTACTGATTTTATTTTTTTTATTTTTTTTTTAATTTTAAGTAGTTTAAAAATTTTTTATAAAATTTTATTATTTGAATATTTATTAAGTACTAATATAAAATTATATATAAGAAATTTTTTTGGTAAAAAAAAGAAAACATAAATTTAATTTATAAATTAATAAAATTTTAACATTTTTTTTACTAAAAAGTTTAATTCTTTTTTGAATTTATTTTATAATTAAATTTAATTTTTAACATTTATTTTTATTTTCAATATTATAAATTTTTAATTAAATAGCAATTTAAATTTATATATAAGAAATTTATTTATATATTTTTTAATAATTTATTTTATTTTAACTTTTATATATTTAATTTCAATTATTAATTATTTTTTTATTAATTTTTTTAAAAAAATTTAATTTAGTTCAAAACTTTTCTTAATAACTTGATTATATATTTTACTAATTACTAACATATAAAATATTTTTTTGATTAAAAGATATAAACTTGAAATATCTATTATACACTTTTTAAACTTTTTAATTATTTATTTTTTTTTATTAAATTTTTTAAAATATTTTTTATTGAAAAAAAATACAAATCAGTTTTAAAATTTTTTATAAATTTGATTATATAATCTTTTAATTAATAATATGAGTTATATACAAGAAATTTTTTTATTAATATAAAGTGAAATTTAAAAATAATTGTTGAATAACTTTCTTTTAACTTAATTTATATTTCTTTTATTTTTAATTTTTATTATTATTATTTTCATAAAAAATATATTTCAGTATTGAACTTTTTTTTATAAATTTGATTATATTAATTTTTTATTTATAATATGAAATTGTATACAAGAATTTTATTTTATTAATAAAAAGTAAAATATCAAAAATAATTATTAAATTAATTTTTTAAACCTTAAAAAAAATTTTTTTCTTTAACTAAAAAAAATTATTATTTCTGCATTATTTTTAATAAATTTTTTTTTTATTTCTATAAAATATAATTTAGTCTTAATATTTTTTTTGTAAATTTGTTTATATTATTCTTTTTTAATTTAAAATATGAAATTATGTAGAATTTTTTTCTATTAGTAAAAAGTAAAATTTGAAAATAATTAATTTTTTTTAAACTTATTTACAATTTATTTTTTAATTAATTTTGTCTTTTAATAATTTTTTTTAAAAAGAAATTTATAATAATTTAAAATTTGTTTATAAATTTTATTGATTACAAAAAGTATAACTTGAAAATTTTCTTTTACTTAAAACAAATTCATTTCCATTTAAAATTTTTTTTCTTAGTCATTTTTTCTAAAAATATATAATTTAGGTTTGTTTTTTTAAAAAATTTTTTATTATTTATATATTTTATTGAATTATTTTATAATATTCTAAAATTTAGAAAATATAATTCTTTTTAAAATTGTTATTAAAATTTATCATTTTTACTATTTTTTAGTATTGTTAATATTTTAATAATCTAATTTTTTTATATTTTTTTCTATACTATTTATTAATTTTTTTAGTTTATACTTAAGTTTTATATGTTAAATTTTATAATATATAACTATAATCAAGGTAACAAATTTTTAGATTTATTATAATTATTTAATTTTTTTTATTTTTTTGATTTGGTAAAAGTTTTCATAGATTTTATATTAATAAAGTTTATTTATAAAATTTGTTTAAGGGATGGTCGGGTTATATATAGTACGGGCATTAAGCTCTATTCCTACATTTGTAGACAGCACAAAATTTTCCTTATTTTTAGTTACTTTCCTTTAGTAAATAATAATTTTTATATATTTCATTATTAATAAATTTTTTTTTTAAAATAGTTATTAATAATTTTTTTTTAATTTTTTTTATAATTTTTTTAGTTGATTAACTTTTTTTTAATATTTTTTATATATTTTTTTTTACTTATTTTTTATTGATTTTTTTAAAAAAAACTTCCTTTTTTATAAAGTTAATTTCTTTTAGTATTTTATTATTTTCTTTTATCAGTAATAATTATTTTTTTATACAATTTTGTTTAAATATTTATAATAATTATTTTTATAATTTTATTTATGATTCTGAAGTTCTTAAATTTTCAGTTTATTAACTTTTTTTATATTTTTTTATATTTTATTTATTTTTACTTTATTTTATTTTATTTTATTAATTTTTTTTTAATAATTTCAAGTTTTAAAACTTGTTATATTTAATTTTATTAAAATATATATTTTAATTATAATTTTTGTCATTTATTTGTATTATTATTTTTATGTATTAACAATTATTATAAAATTTTTTCTATTTTTTATTATAATTCTTAATTATTTTTAAATTTGTTGTTTCTACTTATTATTATATCTTATTTTATATAAATAAATTTATAATATTTTTTTATTGTCACTTTTATATAATTATACTTTTTTTTTTTACATTTATTATTCAATTTTTTTCCGCAGTTTTTTTATTACTAATGAAATATAATTATAAATCTTTTTATTAGTATTGTTTATACTATGAAATCCTTTTTTTTTTAAATTAATTACAATTAAGTATAAATTTATTAAATAACTTAAAAACTTTATTGTTAATTTTTTTTATAGTTTTAAATTCTTATGTTTTATTTATTCATTAAAATTAAAAATATTAATTTTATATTCATTTTTTATTATGACATATTTTTATATTGTAAAATTTATTTAAAAAAAGGAAATTATGAGAATTGTTTTACTGAAATTATTATGAATTATTTTTGATGTTTTTACGTTAAGTTATAGTTTGCATCAATAATAACCTTTTTAGATTAAAATGTGCTATTACTACTTTCATTGTTGCAGATTATTTTTACGTTTTAACTTTTATATTGACCGGTTTATGTTTTTTATTGGTTTATGCTATTTTTATAGTTTTGTGTTTTTATAATTCATTAATTATTATGTATCTTTTTTTTATAAAAGATTCGTTCTTAGTAGTTTTTTTAGACGTTATTTAACTTTTCTCATTTATTTTTATTGTCCAGTTTTAAGTACACTAATAAACTTCAATTATTTAATTTAGTTTTCCCTTTTTTTAATGAACCCTCCTTTCTTATTGCTCCTCTTAGGCGCTTCATTTCGCTCATTCACGAGGCATTATGCATCGGGACGTCAAACCGCACAACATCGCCATAGACCATTCCAAAAAGAAGGCATCTCAATGATTTTCATCGAGCTTATCTCTTCTCTTATATGATTCGTTAGCTTCGTCTTATTGACTGGGGTTTGGCTGAATTTTATCATCCTTGTCAGGAGTATAATGTCCGGGTAGCATCTCGACATTATAAAGCATGAATTTTTTATAATTATTATTTTTGTGTTTTTCATTAGTTTTTATGAATTTTATTTTCAGGCTCCAGAGCTATTGGTGGATTTTCAGTGCTACGACTATTCATTGGATCTTTGGGGTGTTGGGTGTGTCCTTGCCATGATGGTATATTTATAATGAATTTTTTACCTTTTTTTTCTTTTGGACTTTTATAATTTTTAACCAACATGTCTTTATTTACAATGACTTGCTTTAGGTCTTTAAAAAAAATCCATTTTTTTATGGAACGGATAATTTTGATCAACTTTTGAAAATTGTTAAAGTTTTGGGTATATTATTATAATTATTATGATTACTATTTCTCTGCTTTAAATATATAAACATATTATTTAGCTTTCAAGAGTTTTAAGGTATTTTCTAGACCTATAATATTAAGCGATAGTGCTTTTATACACAAGATGAATTCTATTGTTTGCCCGTTAGGATACATACTAGTGATAAAATGTACACGTTTAGTATTATTTTGATACAGAACTGAGATTATTAATGTAAAATTACTAGACGAAAGTTATAAAAAAAAGTTTATTAAGAAAAATAGTAAAAAAATAATTAAAATTTTATTATAAAGTTAGAAAAAAATCGCAACAAACAGCTTTTATAATTTATGAACTTTTAAAAATAAACTTTTGTTAAAGTAAAACCGAAAAAATAAATTTAATATTAATAAAAATTTAATAAATTACAAAAAAAGTTATATAATTTTAGAAAAATAATAAAATTTTTAATAAAATTAAATTTAATTTTGTTTGTAAATATTAGAAAAATCAAAGCACTTTTAAAAATTAAAGAATTAAACGATTAATTTCCCTTCAAAGTAAAATATTGATTAAAAAAATGACATTGATGGAAGGAAAGTGTAAAGTTGTGTTTCAGTTTTAAAAGAAATTAATAAAAAGTATTTGCTAATTTTTCATAGTAGAAGTATAAAATATTGTAATTTATTATGGTTATAAAGAAGAGCAAAAGTAGGATATAAAGGAAGTTTTATTTTGTTTGATGTTGTTATTAAAGAATAGGAACAATATATATTAAGTAGAAATTTTTAAATAAGAAAAGGCAATTTACAAATTTTTATATATATAACGTTTCTATTAAGGACAAAAACGCTTGTAAATGATTAAATCTTTTGGTAAAAATTTAAATAAAAATTCACGATATTAGTATAAAGAAGAGCAAGTTGGAAATTTTAAGCAATTTTTTAAAAAAATAAATGTTAATAAAGAATTAATTAAAAATGATTAAGTACTTAGTTGAATAAAAATAATAATAATTATATATACAGCAAGTGCTATAGAATAAGTATTTTTTTGAATAATTTTAATAGTATGGAAGAGATTAGAATCTATTTCAGTTAAAAAAGTGTTGTAAAGTTAATTAAGAAAAAGATGAAGTAAACAAAAATTAAAAATACGACGAAAGTTTAGAAAATCGTTAAAAAATATAAAATAAAATAACTACTCAACTTTGGAACTATAAAAAGTTTTAATAAAAGTAAATTTTTGCGATAGTAAATAGTTTTCTATTATTACTCAATTAAAAGTAAAATTGTTTTTGTCATTTATTTTTTAACTACAGCAACGTTGAGCAATTTCTTTGCTTTGAAAGTTTTTCTCTCTGTTATTTAAAAATTCTAAGTAGTTTGTCACATTTTAAAAGTTAAATTATTTTTATTTGTTAATTATAACATTAAGTACAGGGATAGCAGAATATACTGTTAATGTTTTATAATATTTTGCAGACCATGTTTATAATAAAGTAATTTTAAATGCTAGTGATTTTAAAGTTAATTGTTTTTAGACTTAAAGAATTAATATATATAAATAAATAAATTTTCAATAGGTTTTATAAATTTATGATAATTGCAAATTTTTAAAGGTATTCGGCTTTTTAAATTTTATTATAATAATTAATTTTTTTTTAATTTATTTTTATGGTTTTTATAATAAAGTTTAAACTTTACTAGCCGATTTTCAAGTTGTTTATAATTTATTTACTTTTTAAAAAAAAGCTTTATAATTTTTTTTTAATTCTTAATCCGGTACAATTCAATTAAGTACAATTAATAATTTTTAATATCGCATATCAAACTTAATTTGGTAAAATTTTTTGTATAATTTTCATTAAGTTATTTATATTTTTATACAATATTTGTATATAATATATATTGATCTTTTAATTTGTCACACGGAAGGAACCGAGGACTTGTATGCTTATCTAAACACATATAAACTTCAGTTACCATCTAAACTATCCAACGTAGTTCGGAGGTTTTTAAGTTTTTTTTTTAGTGAATTTAATTCTATATACGTTTATTTTAACAGCTGCAAGAAAGTGTCCTGGAAAAGCTTTGTTAATAACGATAATAAAAAGTACTCTAATCCCCAAGTTTTCGATTTACTTGACAGGTTTTATTGTTATTATTACTACTATTATTATTTTTAATATTAATAATATTTTCTCCTAGACTTTTACAGTACGATCACGCGAAACGACTTACGGCCGCTGAAGCAATGGACCATGAATACTTTTCTATATTAAGCGAAGAGGAAAAAGCAGCAGTGAACTAATCTTAAATAAATTTAATTTTTTTTACTTGAAAAAAACTTTGCTTTTCTATAAATTATAAATAAAAAGATTCTTTATACTTGTTTTTTATATTAATTATTGCAAAATATTTTATTTACAGGGAAAAAGCCTACACTATTGCGTACATTGTTACTAGTAAAATTTGAGTTTACAAATTAAATTTTTTAAAAATTTATTATAAAATTACATAGGGGTATTTTAATGGTAGTAAAGTAACCGAATAGAATAATTTGGTTTACGTAGGACAGTAAAACTACATCATATTATATTACTTTGAAAAATTAATAATTGCAAATAAACATAAAAAGTTAAAAGTATGTAACAAAAAATATCAAAGAAGAAAAAATTAGTTGTATTAAAGTTGCTCAAAGATATTATACTGGATTTAAAGGTAAAACCTTCTATAGACAAGAAATCTGTGAAAAGTTAGTAATTTTTATCGTTACCTGTAGTTTAGTTTTACTTTGTATCATGTAAATATACGCCGGGTCGATAGTCTTTTGCAACTGCTGTTGATATTATACTAGTTTATGCTATCTGCCCTTTGAGCTAACTATCTTTCTTTATAGATACTTTGACTCTGGGATCGGATGGTTTTAAGTCCTCTATTCATAGTTGCGGACGAAAGCAAAGGATAAATTATTGACTTAAATCATTCTTAGTGTCAAAAAAATGCCGACCTTATGAGCGGTATAGCAAACACTATCGGTTCTAAATGCTATCAGACTCGCTTTAAACTGATTGAGATAGAGTATTATCTTCTAACAATACCAGAACTCTTTACAAAAGTTTCGATCTGTGAGATACTTTCTTGGCACTAAGGTGTTTGGTTAAAGCTAACCCACTAGTGCTTATATGTGAAACGTTTCCAGTGTATTACTCGTAAATAATAGTAATAGGATAGTGTTGTTCCCTAATATATAAATATATATGCGGATAACATTTTGTTAGGCTTTAAGTACAAAGGTGATATCTAGTCAAACTCAAAAAGTACCCTTATGTTAGCTTTGGAGTTAGATTTAAAGTTTACTTGATTTGGATCCTCTAGCTAGCGCCAAGGTTACTCCAAAGAATACTAACGGTGCTTTTTATTTAGCAAGTTACTTATGACGAAAAAAACCAAGAATACTTCTTAGATGGGGAAATTCTTACTAATGTCTACCTGTGGGCGTGGAAGCTGGTAGGCTGATTTTCACCTTGAAAAAGAAAAAAAAACTTTTTTTTTAGTGTACCCTGTGAGCAAGGTAAATTAAGGTGTTTGATAAACCTAACATGAAAAAAAAAGCAATGAATAAGAATAAAGTCCCCTGTTTCATTTTAGACTAGGGCATCCTATAGCGTACTTAAGCTGATCCTGTTAGGTTTAAGCTATGGTAATTACCATCTGTAGCATTCACTCTCATTCTTGATACTTGCGCGTACTACTTGCCACTCTTTTAATAATGTAAGTGTTGATACAGTGTCCCATTATTGTACTATTCATGCCCGACACCAATTAAGTGCCAAGGTATCTTGCTACTAACATACATGCATAGTTATTGCAGTCATTAATTTATTCCACCAAATCCAGCCCATCCAGATTTAAAAAGTGTAAAAAACTACTTATGTTTCTTTCTCCCGGCAAAGTAGTAGGCAACGTATTGAAAATTTATTAATTACACAAATAAAAACGAATATTTTTAATATTAAAATAGTTAACAAAAAATATACATGAAACAATTTTAGAATAGGAAAATGCTTGACTAAATTTACTTAAAACAGTAATACCATTTCTAACTCTGATTACCATAAATATATTTTGCAAAAAAAAGTAAAATTTTAATTACATATAATTTGTTACAATAAATTAAGTGGTATATCAAAAGTGGTAAGAATGGTCGTATAAGATACGTAAAAAGTAATACGGTTGCATATTTATTACTTATAAGATTAACAAAAAAGGAACATTAACAATTAAATTTGTAACGAATCACATACATAGGGTATAATAAAAGTAAGGAGTATAATTAAATAGAATAATAGAATACGTTAAATAGTAGTTTCCATCAACTTATTAATAATTTTTTTTATAGAGCAATATTTTAAGTTATTTTCCGACTAAAAATTAAGTTATAGTTATTCTACGTGATTGCAATTTTGCCACACAGGGTTTGGAGTTTAATTTTAAGAGTGACTATATATTTTTTAACGTATACTAAAAGAAAAGCAAGTACTGAGAGAAAATCACTATCCGATTAATAATAATTTATTATTGTTTTTTCTCAACCGAACTGCATAGCTTGTCTTCAATACTAACTTTTTACTCCATTTAGTTAAAGGTAGGGTGAGAAATAATAAGTTTTTTTTTTTTAATTGAATATTTTGTTGTTAGCGTGCCAGTCGTTAAACAGGTAACGGGGAAGAGACGTATAAAACTAAGAATGTAATCTAAACTAAATAAATAATTGAAAAATATAAGGTAATATACAATTGTTTGCTTCTGACTTTATAGTAATATAATATATATTTATGCGCTGCATAAAATACACAATATCGATAATTAGCGCATTAAGTTGGAGCTTGGAAATAAAAAGGAATATTTTGTGCATATTCCATCTATCATTTGTTTATAATAATTGATAACTATTTAGCAAAATTATAAACAAAAAGTTTCTTTAGAAAGAGGGCAAAATTTATATAAGTTATTAGAGGCTTTTGTTTGTTCACAGAAATTTTTTTAATTTTGTATGATTTTTAAAATCTTAAGCGTTAAATTTAAAAAATAATAAAATTATACAATTTTTAAGAGTAAGCAATCTTATGTTATGTTTAAGTCAAAAACCTGTTGTACTGAATCACAAACAGCATTAACTTTTTATGGTAATTTTAGAATCAAAATCATGACATTCTTCAACTAATAGTATAATGTAGTTAAAGTTTAAAGTATGAACTAAGGGGTTAACCCTAAAGTTTATGTTTTTGATAGACCTGCAGCTTTTTAGTATGATAAACAGAGTAAGATCAAGAAATGAAATTAAGTGGTGCCTTCATTTTGACGTGTAAAAGCCTTTATAAAAATGTAAATTTTTTTATTTTTTATTTTGACGCACTCAACAAATTGTTAAAGTTTATATGTATATATAACATGAAAACATCACAAAGTATAGCGATTAAAATTTTCTAAATCTTAGTGGCTTTTGATTTTATCACTTTTTCATTTTCTCACCATGGCTGCACTAGCATTGTTGATTAGCTTTGTAGCGACAATTCATTTTCCAAAGGTGTCACAAATAGATTTGTATATGTTTTATAAGCTCGTTCCAAAAATTTAAAGCTACAAAATATTAGCTGCATTAGCCGCATATTAAGGTAGTAAAACAACAGTTATTCTAGGAAAGCCTTTCGATTGTATACTTTTAACAAAAGCGCAGGTGAAAGTAATCCTTTAAATACTATAATGTTCGGTCCCGTTACGATAGGCAAAGATGTTACTGAGCGCTTCCAATTTATAGAAGAATTTTATTATCTGGACTGAAAAGAGGAAATTAAAAATCGAATATATTAAAATTACGTACTGCTAAACTTTGAACTACACTCTTTTAGTTTTCAATTTATTAACTATCGGTCTGTATTTATTACGCGTAAAAAGTTTGTATTTGGTCAAAAGCATTAGTAGAGATGTAACTCTGGTAAAAAAAATAAGCGCCCATAAAAAAAAAAGCTTATGCCTCGTGGTTACTTGAAATTAAAGGCCTGAATGTAATTTTTTTTTGTACTGCAAACATTGCTTATTATATAACAGCAAATCCAAATGTATTTAATCCAGTTTTGCCAATTTCCAAAAATACATTAAAACAAAGAAAAAGCCTAAGTTAGCATCTCTATTCAGAGTTTTTATCATCAACCGTCTTGGTTTGAACTCTATAAAAAGTTATATCTCCTTCTTTAAGACCTCTTTATTCAGCTAAAAGTTTACTTGACCTTTTTGTCTTTCAAAACCTATAAACAGGAGTTCCACCGCTCTTTAAATACCAAAAAAGGTTAATAACCAGATGGGTGCTGTAAAGTTTAAGCCATATTCATTTGTTAAAAGTATTAAGGCTTATAGTCTATAATAATACTTACCGTTTAAAACTGTTCAATGATTTTTTCTAAAGATCCTATTCAAGATCTATGAATTCACAGCACCGCTAATATATGCTTAATATATATTTAGAATATAAGTTCGTCTAGGTTAGTAGGAAATTAAACTTCTATATTAATAGCTTTTGGTATACATTTCTGTTTCTGACCTCAATTCAAGTCTGGCTTTGCCGAAATCCTTCCCGAAGCCTTTGAAGTTGCAATAGTCTGTTTTTAAGTTTCTCTGAGCTACTGAGTACGTAATCTCTTTGCGATTGATAAAACTTTATTTAACTTTTAAAAGCTGTCAGTTAACCAAACACATAGCAGCAGTAACATTGCTTAGTTCTGCCGTCTCTCTTTAACGTCACTACGAATTCGAGAGACCGACAATACTAAAATATTGCTTATATATTAAAAACACACTGTACACTCCTAGCTAAGTCATAGTGCGGTCTCAACATTATAGAAAAGAGATTTTTAAGTGCTTCGCCAAAATAAAAAGAGGCGGTGTATCATGAGTCAATCTTAGAATTTTAATAAATTTAGTGAGATTAATACTTTTACTTTCCAAGTCGTCTTTAATATCTTGCGTGGCACTTCCACAAAGGCTTTAAGTAATATACTTTGTGTTTAAAAGAAACGAAAGAACCCTATAAACCTTTTTTATGAATATTTTCCAACTTAATATTAAAATTTTTCAGTGATTATTTACATCACTATTAACTTAATAAAATTTAAACTTTTACGTGTTTAATAGGTTCTGTAGCGTACAGAATCAGGCGGTATTTTTTTTCTTAAGAAGACCTTTTTATTATTATATTTAAGGTTGTTAATAAAAGTAATGTTAGTAATATTAAAGTTACTATTTAGGTTATTA